AGTACCAGCATCTGTGCTGACACTTCTAGTTGTCTTATCAGCTGGTTGGACACCAGAGTCCACTCTTATTGTTACCTGTGTCTCCTGGCACAGGCAGATTGCATAGTTCCAGGAGGCACTTGATTCTAGATCCCGTTAACTCTTCTAAAATGTGTGACTGATCCCCACTGTACCCAGCCACATCAGTGGCCAGTTTCTCTAGCTGCTGCTGGAGGAGCTATGCTTGACGTAGATCAGAAACCGAGCTACTATCATTTGGGAACAGTGATTCAGTCCTTTTCTTCAGGCTGGTCTCTTCCATTTCTCTGAACTGGACGCGGGCATGATAGCTTGGTGCCTGCTCTGTCAAAGCTTTCTAAACTCATGTTTCCTCAGGCAGGTGCCCAGACAAAGTTGAGCCTTTAATTTCCTTTGGCCTCTTGTAGTTTTCATGGATCACTGCTTATAAAGCAGCTTGCCATGATAGAGTCAGGCCTGGAGGTTTATAATATGCTAAAACGCAAGGTAACTACTTTTTTTTTTTTTTTAAACAGATTCTGAGGAGCCAAACGTAAGGAAGCGAAAGTGAGTCAGAATCTAACATTTTGCTACTTTGTGGGAAGTGACAGCTGCTTTCCAAAGGCTTCTGACTTCCAAATGTTTTTTGATTTGGGTGCAAGGGTTTTACTTCCTGTTTGTGTAAGCCCAGGTTTTAATGACTGGCATCCATGATCTGTGTTTAACTTACTGCTCTTTCCAGTTGATAAGATATGTGAGCTGTAATGTAATGTGCTTGTCAGCTTACATAGTAAAGTGCTTTTGGGAGAACAGTCCTTGAAATCATTTGAAGCATCCTAACCTTTCTGCCTTGTTCTCTGTAGAGGACTTGAACCTGATGAGAAACAGTCGGCAACTGAGCTGGATGCCATGTTGCAGCATCATCAGAACATGCAGGAGAAATTAGCAGAAGAAATGTTGAGTTTGGCTCGCAGTCTCAAAAACAACACTTTGGCAGCACAGAACGTTATTAAACAAGATAACCAGGTAGCACCCGTTAGTACTAGGAATCCAGCCTGAAACATGAATATGCTGAGATATTGTATAAACAGTAATATCTGTAACTGGCTGCTAAATATGGTTACAGGGGAAAGAGTTCACTGGCAGGACCTGTGTTTTCTTTGGTGCATTTGGTCTTTACTGGGGGCAGACTTTATCTTTTGTGTTTAGCTGTATCTGGGATCAACTTCCAAGGGAAGTAGAGGAGGTTTGCTGAGTCAAACCAACTTTAGCAGCTAAGATCTGGAACCAACTTCGAAGGGAAGTGACGCTGGCTCCTACCTTGGGGGTCTTTAAGAGGAGGCTTGACAATTACCTACCTGGGGTCATATGAGTCCAGTATTCTTTCCTGCCCAGGGGCGGGGTCAGACTTGATGATCAATTTTGGTCCCTTCTGACCCTACATCTATGAATGTAACAAGTAGTGTCTGAAAACTTTCAAATGGAGGTGCCTGAAGCTATGGAGGTCTGACCTTTGAAGGCTTTGGGAGCCACAGATGTCTGGCACTTCTGCCATTGGGTTATTTCACTTAAGGTCCTAAATCTGTCTGTGGGCATCTCCCTTCAGACTGCAGTTCTCAAATCTGAGTGCCCATAGTATTAACCACTGGGGCCTCTTTGTATTTTCTCCATTGTAGCGCCTGCTGGTCTGGCTGTCAGCACCACTTGGCTTGTTTGCTCACCAGCCCTAAGATGTTGTCTTCCTTCTCCTGAAAATCACCTGACTTACAGCTCCCTCTCTTTGTTCCCCAGACATTGTCTCAGTCCCTCAGGATGGCGGACCATAACTTTGAGAAGCTGAAGGATGAGTCTGAACGTCTTGAGCAGCATGCAAAGAAATCTGTCAACTGGTTGCTGTGGATAATGCTAATCATAGTGTGTTTTATTTTCATCAGCATGATCCTCTTTATCAGAATTTTCCCTAAATTGAGATGACTGCCACAGTGCCCATGAGCAGTATGTGAAAGGCTGGGCTGTGTTGCACATGTGGATTATCACCCAGTTATGTCCTCTATTAGCCTGGTAAACATTTGCTGCAGAGCAGCCACCAGTCACTGGTCTTGTCCCATGGAGGAACTGTCAGACTGATTCTGTATCCCTTCCTGTGCCTTTGCTGGACTTGGTGGGACACCTTGTAGAGGAGGTTTGCTGAGTCAAACCCCCAGGAAACCTTTTCGTTCAGTTACAGTTGCTGTTTTTTTGAGAGAACTGGAATAAAGTTTTGATGGTGCATCCCAGCAAAGGGGTCTTTGCAGGTAACTCAGTGAATGCTAGCCTCCTAGCTCCTGAAGCGGTTGTCCCCTGGAGCAAGCTTGTATAGATCCATTGTTGTCCTGCTGTAAGCAGGTAAAATCTGACTTTTTTGAGATTCTCAGCCAGGGTGTTTTGTCTCAGTATGGGCTGTCCAGTCTCTGTCTTGCTGATCTGCTACTTCCAGTGAGGTCAGCGAAAACTTTGGTGCATTATTTCTATTTCTTGAAATAGTTATTTCCTTTGGAAAGGGATGAGCTACACACATGGCCAAATTGCACTTGCACTGCTGGTATATTGGTGTTTCTTCCCTGAAACGGGTGAGGCAAATACCGTAGCAGGTGTGAAATGCAACGATGAAGCTGTTGAATCTGATTTTGTGATACAGTGTACTGTCAAGAAGAAACCCCCATTAGTGAAGGTGTTACGGGAATCGGTTCCCTTGCAAAGCTGCTTCTGTGTTTGCTGTTAAAAGTAAGGTGTGGGGAAGAAGCAGTTGGGTGAGTCTAGCCTGCAAGCTGGATCTGGACTGTTCAGGTGATCAGAGAGTCTTGCTTATCCCTCGGATACAGAGATGTGCAGTGCAGACAGGCAGGAACTCCCCAGAGGCTAGGGTTCAGCAGTGACTGCTGCCTAAATCCACAGCTGCGAGAGCTAGAGAACCAAGCAGGGCAAGTGAGAACCTCTCCTAAGGAGCTTGTGTGGCTGTGGCCTCCTTCTTCTGTTTGCCTTCTTCCCGGGTGCCACTGTTTTTTTGGTTTCTTTGTCCAGGACATGTTTTGTCTCTAATGTCATTGGGATCTAGGATGTTAATGTTTAGACGGTATAGGCTTCGTGTTCCAGCATGTTCCCAAGTGGGGAATTTGGGCTGAGGCTGCCTCCCTGGATACAGGTTGACTAGATTAGCCAGCAACCGATAGGCAGGAGAGTGACTGGGAATGTTTGTGGTAGACAGAGAAACACCATGTGGCATTGGCAGTGTTGATTAAAGGTGATGTCCCAGCCTTTTCCTTTTTTTTTTCTTTTAAGGCACATCTTTTCTCCATGCTCTGTGATGATGGGGTCTCTGGGATGCCCTGCTCTATCTAAGACTTTAAAGTGTCCAAGGCTGATTCTGCAATGGACAACACCATTGCAGGGAGGAAGAAGGTGGAACTGGGGACATAACTAGAAATAGGGAGTGGGTTAGATGTTCTTGGGTGAGAGCACTTGCCAGGAAACCCTGGGGGGGCTGCTTGTAGTAGTAGCTGCAGAGCAAACCTGGATGTGGAGGTATCCAAGACAGCTGCGCCTTGTACAGGCTGACGTGCGAGGCAGTGGTGTGTTCCAGCTCCTGTGTGCCGTGCTGCCCTGAAGAAGCTATTTCTGAAAATGACAAGCTGCTCTCAGCAAAAAGTTAAACTGATAACAGGGATTACACAGACTGGAAGAAAGGCACACTCCTACAAACAAGGGACTGGAAATTAGGCTAAATGTTGCACTGCTGTGGGTGACACATTAAAAAGCAGATTGAGCAAGAGACTAGTGACGGTACGAGGGAGCACTGTCGGAGGAAGTGGACTGGTGTGACCTCTTTGGTCCCCTTTCATCTCCAGCTCCTTTGATTCCATAAGTGTGCGGTGCCCTCTGCCACTTGCCTTGGGCGAGGTTACATTTTCTAGTGCAACAATGGGATTGTTCAGGTCTTGGCAGTAGTTCCTGTGTTAACAGTAAAACACTGGCATGTCTTTTCTTAGCACATCAGGAGACAGGATCTTTGTCTTCTGAGTTTTCTCCCATCAAGTTAAGTTTCTCCCAGTCAGTTGTCAGTGGGTGTGAATGGAAAGGTCTGGTCCATGACGTGAAATCATTTGCCTTAACTGACTTGGCAATAGCTCTCTGGGTCTCAAAACAGGAAGGGATGAGTTTCCCAAGGCCAGATCTTATGTGATCTCAGCTTGTATGCCTGAGAAGTCTATTCTGTAACCTGTAACATCTTGCCCGTGATGTGTGGACTCACTCCATCTACTTGACTGGCTGAGATGGTGACTCCTATTTCTACTTCTCCAAAAAGCTAGAGGGTAAGCAGGGTGCATGCTGCTTGCTGAGAACCTGAGAGCTTGGGAAAAGTATTGCACAAAGCAAATTGATTGTGGGAAGTAACAGTGGAGCTGGCTCCCAATTAAACATTGGTTTCACGTGAGGTTCCCTCACACAGGACCAGTGCAGAAGTATGCTCATCTCATCTCTGCTGCCTCACTGGAGCTGGGAGCTAGATCCCAACAAAAGAGTGGTATTTTGTCGGTACAGCAGAGGTTGGAAGTCAGGGTGTCCCTGTCTGCCTGCTGGCTCACTGTGGAACCGGAGCTGCTGTTTTTGGTCCTCACTTTTCTTCTTAAGTGAAGGTTATTATTGATCCAGGTAGTCTATGAGAGTTGGTTAATCTCTGGCAATGATCCTTTGGGCTGCAAAAGATTCAAGGTCTTACCTTGAGTTTGACTGGATCAGCCAGTTACTTCAACTGAGATGGTGGGTTGAGTGTTGCTTTTCCTGCATCTTGGCAGTTAGGATTATTTTCAATCCTCTCAATTGTCACCTGTCTGCAGCTGCAGATACCAAGAAGTTAAACCAGTGCAACATGATACCGCCAGCACCCTGGCTGCCCTTGCAGTATTGAATTGGAGTGAGCAATCAGTGCTGCAAAACAGACTGCATGTGTGCCAGGCCCTGTCCTCAAGCCGCACTTCCACACTGTGCAGCTAGCCTTGGGGGGCCCTCGTGCATGTCAGCATGTCTCATTCCCAAATGTAGCTTATGAGGAAATGTAATTTTCCCACCCTTTTCCACCACCTCTGTCCCACCGGTTCTGGAAGCCAGGCTGGGTTCTTTCCAGATGTAACAATTGTAGAGAGTTGGCCAAAGACAGAAGGAGCCTTGGAGGGCACGGTGCAGACCATGCTGCAGTGAGTTCATGCTGCTTCAAGTGGCCAGCCCTGGTGTTGGACTCTAGCTGGTGCCCAGGAAAGAACAGAGCTCAGCTGGTCTCTCAGCTGCACTGGCTTGACCAGGAAGACTGCATTAACAAAAGACACAGATTAGTGGTTCTGACCCTGAAAACACAAACCCATTTACCAAGTTCCCCTCCAGAATGGAACTAGCACTGAATCCTCTGGGCCACCAGCCCTGTCTACAGGAACTCTTTGTGTAAGGATATTTGGTCTCTGGGAGTGAAGGGGATTCCCTTTGAAAAGTGTTGGGAAAGGACTTCTGTTCTCATGGGATTGATCCAGAGCAGCTAGGGGTGGTTTTGGGGTTGGTGCAACCCTGTTAGCTCTACATGGAGTCTTTTGGAGGCAGCATGACTGATTTCAAGTTCCCAGTGTCATACAGACCAGGAAAGCTGGTCTTGAAAGATTTCTCAGTGCTTGCCCAGGGAGCATCCTATAGAGCCTGGCCCAGAGCACCCAGTGACCATGGCAAATGTAGAGCCTTAAAGGGAGCAAGAAGCTCCCGGGGCTTGAGAGAAGGTCCCTGTCCTGCAGAGCCTTACTCAGGAGGGTGTAAGGGGGGCGCGGGAGATGATTAGACTTGCCTGCTACGTAGCTTGTTTTTGTTTTATGCTGGTACAGATCAAAGCTACTAAGGGAGATGAAAGGCCTGAGCCTACCACGCTCCAGCACCAGCCTGCTGGTGTTGTACTATCATATTGCACATCTCGTTAGCCAGGTAGGGCATCTAATTAATTCTTATCGATGATGCCAAGAGTAAGAAATTCACGAGCCTCTTCTGTGTCAAGATTCATTGATGAATACAGAGACATGCGTGACAGACAGTTTAATCCTATACTCCTTCTCTTTGATCTCAGAACAAAAGAAATGCCCCTGCTGGGGGGCAGGAGCTGGAGCTGTCCTGCAGGGAGGGGCAGGGGCCACTGGAGGACCCCCCCCTCATTGCCCTGCAGGGGTGCACCAGCCCTTAGTTCTCAAGAGTGCATTGCATTGCCCACCTGGCATAGCAGGATGCTCTGAGGGGGTATCCTGCACCCCCTTGCCCTGCCTCCCTCCCTTGCTTGGGGATGGGGGCAGGGTAGGAGTAGGGATACAGAGGACTATGCGCCAGGTCTGTTCCTGTGGGGCAGGGGAGCTGGCGCCCAGCCAGGCCTGGCTGGAGCAGCTGCTTTTGGAATGAGGGAGGCCTGGGAGCCAAGTTTTGGACAGCAGGGCAGGGGCAGGGGGTTTCCAGCTGGGTTCCCAACCTTCTTCCAGCCCCAGGGACCCCCAAGCACTTTGCCACCCTGCTGCATACATGCATGCAGAGCTGGGGCATACGCCTGCCCACACGTGCACTAGTCCCCGGAGCCATGAGGGTCAGAGCCCACTGCCCTCCTGCCTGTGTGCAGGGAGGCTGGGGGCAGGCTTGAAGTGGGAGCAGGCACTTCGTCTGGCTCGAGAGTGACAGTGCTGGGAAGCGCGCCCAGCTCCGTGCTGCAGGGGCACTGCCAGCAATCCCCTCCCTTCCCTTCCCTTCCCGTCACCTTCCTGCCCCTGTGCAGTCACTGACTCCCGAGCCGTGGGATCCAGGAAGCTGGGGGCAGAAAATCAGCTCGTCTGCCCATGAGGATGTGACCCCTGAC